GCACTGCAATCTGTGTCCTGCTGAGGTACTTCGTGTCCCTGATCCCAGGAGCACGGTGCTGAGAGCCGTGTGGGGGACTTACCTAAGCATGAGAGAAACAGGGACTTGGCAAGGAACATGATGGCCACGAGTATCCAGCCCCTCCGGCCCAGGGCTGCCGTCTAAGTGCAGAGCTGCAATGCAAGGGCTCAGGGCTGGTTGTTTCTGGGGAGGAGCACCTCCCACGGGGACGTGGCTTCTGGGGAGGAGGGTTTTAGCCTCATCGTCTTGGTGTGCACAGATCTGCATCGCATTTCCCTGCATCTGACCTGTGGTTCAATTTGCTATGAGCATTAACACTCGCTACACCAGCAGCTAAAGTGCCACAAAACATCTCCCCTTGCTGGCCTACTCAGAAGATCCCAAGTGTCCTACCAGCCCAAGATCTATTTTCTTCGAAGGGTGCCCATGCCCCTAAATCACTTTGGTGCTTGCGAGGTTGATCCTGCTGCTCTGTGTTCCAGCCATTCAAGCCCCAATTTCTTACGGGTACATCCCCTGCTCGGAGATGAGTGTTTGCAACCTTTTTGGGGAGAGGCATTGATGGCATCTGATGTTATCAGAGTAAAAGCTCCGACCTGTTGAAAAATACAGGCAACAAGAGAAATATCCTGTGAAGCACCTCTTTGGCTTGGGACTTATGTCTGGCTGGAGAAGCAGCTAGAGCCAGATTTTAAAGGTGCTTTGTCGCTTGAAGGCACCTGCAAGTCAGACACCCCTGGCATGAGACGCTCATACCAGTTTACCTCCCCCAAACTAGTGACTTGGCACACTTACAGCACATGGGCGTGACTTACCCCAAAATATTAATAGGCCTCATTTGAGAGAGAGAGAGAGAGAGCAAGCAATCAGTTGGACAATGCTTTATTGGTATTTTTACAATGTTAAAGCGATGTGGAAGCCTACCAGTATCTCTATGATCATGATAAAATAAATTCTAAATACCTATATGTGTTGATGTGTGCTTTTGGTTTTCTTCATACGTGATGGGTGTGTGATGGGGGGATGTGGTGTTTGCAGGAAGGGGGTGGGAAGGGGTGTGGGGGAAGGCGGGTGTGCGTGTGGAGGGATGTGGGTTGGTGTGTGGGTAGGTGTGGGGTGATTGCTGGGGGGACTGTGGGTATGAGGGACCTTGTGGGGGAGCTGCTCCGTAGGGGTGGGTCCCCTGGCCACCACATGGTGCACCCCCCCAGCACATGGTATGCCCCCCCACAGCTCTCCCTGGAGGGCTCAGCCCCTATCCCCCACAGGGCCACAGCCCCCCGCCCAGGGTCCCAGGCACCCTGGAGGGCCACAGCCCCCCTGCCCAGGGCTTATAACTTACCTTTAGGAGCAGCAGCAGGAGTGGGGTGCTCCTGCCATGGCAGCAGGACCTGGCGTGGCATGTGGCTACTGTGTGCCAGGCCCACCTGGGTCCTGCCAGCCCTGGGGCCTCTCTGCCATCTGGCTGGGCCAAGTCATGCTGGCAGAGCCCAGTGCGGCATGCGGAGACAGCGTGCCAGACACAGCCAGGTCCTGCCAGCCCTGGGGATCGTCTGCCGCCCGGCTGGGCTGGACCCTTGGTGGCAGGACCCAGCATGGCACATGGGGACTGCATGCCAAGCCCAGCCGGGTCCAGGGGCCTCTCTGCTGCCCAGCCAGGCTGGGCCCTTGGTGGCAGGACCTGCCACCCTCAGGGCCCCCAGCCGCCCAGCCAGGCCAGCCAGGCCAGCCAGGCGGCAGGAGCAGCGCCAGGGCTGGCAGGACCCAGCTGGGCCTGGCACGTAGGGATTGCATGCTGCACTGGGTCCTGCTGCCATGGGCCTGGCCCGGCCAGGCCGCAGAGGGGCCCCGAGGGCATCAGGACCTGGCTGGGCAGGGATCGGAGAGGGGAGGCCGGGGGGCTGGCAGGGGGAGGGGCCAGGCAGGGCAGCCCCCCCCGGCCCCTTACTCACCACCACCGGAGCCCTGGTGCCGACATGCAGCCTGGCCGGCCGCGCGTTTCAGCACCAGGGCCAGGGCCAGCCATAGAGATGCTCTGGCAGCCCCAGCGTCTCCCTGGAGAACCCAGCCTCCGGTTGCCCCGCTTTTTTTTTTAGACCCCTGGATATCCAGGGGTCGAATGTTCTCCCCTTTTTTTCATTTCTGCACGTGCTTCTTACCCCACCTCAAAGGGGTTTGAGGCAGAGCTAGAGGCATGTGTAGAAATGTGTAGAAACGTCTGGACGTGCCCTACAAGGCAACAGCTCGTTTTGCTACGTGTTGTCAAGGGGACGGCATCGTCTATGCCCAACTGGACCTGGATTCAGGACGACATACGCCATTGCAAGCAGTAGAAGCTGGTGAGAGAGAGAGAGAATGGGTAGATCCCGAATTGGGGATCTGAGTGTGGACGTTTGCTGGTGTTTTGAATGGGACCCAGCAGCCTGGGAGGTTCGAGGCTGTGACATGCATAGAAAACCCAGTTTAGTTCAATAAACCCCCCTGGAGATGTTACTATATTGCTCTGTAATGTGTTGTGTGTGAGGCTGGCTAATTGGATGGTGTTTATAGCAGATCCAACCCCAGCCAGATGCACAAATGCTTTTTCAACTTCAGGGACATGAGCCCCTCACAGCGCTGTCATTGCCCTGGCTAATTGCATTTAAATGGGAGCAGAAATGGCAGCATGTGCCCAGCTGCTCTCAGTTGTCCTAACTCCATCTACATCAGTCAGGATTTGGCCCTGAGTATGAAACTACCTTCAGTCACCATCATCTTCTATCTCTAGACCTCCAACATTTGTGCCAATTAAACAGCTTTCCCAGGTATGGATCCAATGCATAATTACCAGGCAAGTGCTTATAGGCGTGTGACCCCTTGGGCCATGGTAACTTCACATGACTGATAGCACTATGTGATCAACAGGAGCAAAGCACGAAGACAAGCCAGCCTAGAGGCAGGGGAGATTTGCACCTCATAGACCAACTACATCAGAGCTCAGCTCCCGTAAGCAGCAGGCTGACTTCAATCACTCCACTGTCATGGAGTGGGTGTAGGATGCTGAGCTTCTAAACAGAGCTTTGATCAGACTACAAAGGGCAAGACACCTTGGGGAAGGGGTGACACGCGGGGAAGAGAAAAGCTTAAATGAAATCAAATAATGTGGTGAATAAGAATCCAAGAATAAAGATGGAGTCCCCCATGGTTTGTCTGCTTCTGTGTCATTTACTTCTTCCTCTTTTCATTGCTGTCAGCATCAGCTCATGGAGATTTAGGTCTCTTCTCCTCCGCAAGGCACAGTCTCCCCAGGCAGTCTGAGCCTGCCCTGCAGGCGACAGCCCTAATCACCGCGCCACTTCTTACTCACCCCATTCCAGCGAGGGGGGCCGGGGAGGGCGCACACGTAAAGCTTCACCCACACATGAACATTTGCAGCAAGCCACGTGGCTGGCAGTGAGTGAGTTCAGGCAAAGGGCGAAGGGCAAACAAGGGGTGATGCTGGGCACAGGATGGATGGGCACTGAGTGGCACCAGATGGCCCCAGTGGGTGGAAATCAGGGAGGCAGAGAGCAAAGGCAGTTGCTGACCTGCTGGAGGGAGCTGTGATGCAGGGAACAACCTGCTCTGCAAACCGGCTTCCTGCGCTGGTTGATAAAAGATATCTGGGCTGGTTTGAATGGGACTAATCCTGCCTCAGGCCAAGGGCTGGACTAGATGCGACCTCAATAGCTCCCTTCCCACCCAACATTTCTAGGAGTCTATCATGGATGCGGACTGGAGCTACCCCCACCATTGACACCCCACCATTGACACCCCCAGACCTATCCCCTTGCTTGGCCCCCCCATGCCCAGCACCGGGGTGAGATCAGTGCAGCTGCATGACTGGGCTGCACACATATGGGAGCACAGATGCCCTGATCCTGGCATGGGCACAGCTATATCTGTGGTACGCACCTTTCTTCCATTGCATCCAGGGACATTCATCCTGAGCACTGTGAGGCCTCACTGCCCCGGCAGCCCGGCATCCAGGGACCACCACTCTCAAGGCCTGCCACGTGGAAGGCTCCCAGCTTTGGCCCCTCTATTGTCATCGGCCCGGGTATTTTGTGGCTTTCAGAGCCACAAAGCTAACAGCAGAGCCACCCCATTACCTATGTCTCTGCACTTGCCCAAACAGAGCTCATTTTCTGCACAGAGCAGACATCCAGCCCAGCTTCTGTGACCTTTCAACAGCTCAGTGCAGCCTCCCTGGCCCTGACACCTGCACCCAGCCACAGCACAAACCCTGCCCTTTGCACAGGGCCACGCACATCACCTCTGCCTGTGGGTCAACCTCTCTGTCCTGATACCTTCTGAATCTACACTTTATCCATTTTAAGCCACTTTGCAGCAAAGTCCACCTCTGGATCATAATTCTGGTCCCTTCCAGCCTCATGACATACTGCATCCCCCAAAGTGGACAGAGGTGTTTATTTGAAATATTGCATCCAGATTTCTCTTACCAAAAATCTTTCATCAATGGTTCTCCACCCACTAGGAAAAACTGGCATTTTTGGGCAATGAAACATGGGATGTTTTATTTTTTGGTCAGAAGGTTGAAAGACAAGGCTTGTGCACACAGCCAAGGGCAGGGGGACGGTAGCACAGAGTAGATGAAGCTTGTTAGCGCAGGTAACAACAGCAAGGAACAGGCACTGAGATGAGCATTCAGAGCCTGGTAGCTGGCATGTGCTAAACCCACAGCACAGCATCCTCCCAGCTCATGTGGGAGCGCAGTACAGATACTGCAGCACAGGTTCTCGTCCGATTGTGGGCTGGACACAGCCCCAGCTCCCTGGGGATTGTCTCTTGTTCTCTGATTGCCGAACAGCTCAAGAGTCCGTCTGAGGTCCCTCCACAGGGGACATGTGCAGCCACGAATTTCAGGGTGGAAAAAAGTTAAACTTAGGTTTCTGTTGAAATGTCCCATGATGGGGGAAATGTTCCACCCAGTGCTATGGGGAAGTCTTTGCAACAATGATGGAAAACGATGTCCTCCCCAGCCACGCTCATCTTTGGGGTCTTCTACCTGGCCAGTCTGAACGCCCACAAGGAGAGAGCGTGTCCCCCTGTAGAGGCTTCTTGGCAGCTGGCATGACTCACATCGATCAGCAGAGAAGCGGCCGCCATCCCTGCATGAAGGAGCCCATGGATGTGACCTTCATGGCGTTACGTTCTTCACTCGTGCTGCCTGCGGCTTTCTGGGCTTGCGGTGAGTCAGCAGGTCTAACTCCAGGTCCACATATATGAGTCCGTCCTGTTGGCAACATTTCATAGCATTGGAAAATGAACCAGGCACCTGTGCGGGGGGGGCTGGGATTCCCTGAGCCCCAGTGACAATCCCTTCTGATCTTTTATGCTCCTGCTTTCCCCATCAAGGCTTTCTCTAGTAGTGAATTTAACAGGATGCCCCTACATCGATTGCAATGAGCTGGGGGCAGGGCAGGCTCTTGGAGTCAGGACACATGAACATTTCCTATGGGTGAAAAGGAGGTGGGGGCTTTCCGACACATCAGCTAGTCTGTGGTAACCCCCTGTGTGTCCACTCTTACACAGCAGGAAGTGGAAGCTGCCTCAGTGAACCAGGACTAAGCTAAACCCATCTGGTTCACATACCCTGGGATAAGCACAGGCACACGGGCACTTCCCCTGGTTCAGTGAAGCCCTGCCAGCCTCTACCCCTACTAACAAATTCACACATCCATGCCTTGAAGTGCTCTGCATACACTCTGTTTTCTAGCATTCGCCACACAGCTTTTCCCCAAAAACCAGCCCAGAATTGGGCTGTGAATATTAAATGGGGAAGCGGATGGTTTTGCCCAAGATTGAAGCACCCAGCCTTGATCCCTGCTGCACAGCAGCTCTGCTATTACTTTTCAGGCCAATGGAGGAGGTCACAGCCCCTTGCTCTTCACTGCACAGGGGTTAACAATCATCCCTCCTTTTCTATGGTCACTGCACTAGTGAGCCAGGGCAGTGTTGCTGTGTGCTAGGACATCTGGTCTCTGCTCCTATTTCACACCTCTTTAGACCTGTTCAAGATCAGAGGTCCACCCACAGAGACTAGGCTTCACCTGCAGCTCAGGTTTTAGTGAAGCAGGAAGAGGAGGCTCTGTCCCTGCTCCCTACAGCTATAATTTGGGGTGGGGGAAATTTCTTCAAGATACCTTTCAAACACAAGGTGCCTATTACATTATGGATGTGTTATATGTGAGAAAGCCTAGTATCCTGTATTATTTCAGTGCCAAGCACTGATCTGGGTGCATCCAAGACACAAAGAGGATCTGAAGCTACCATTTGACCTTCCCAGCAACACAGGGAAGATGATTTGTTAGCTCTGCATCTAAACACAAGAATAAAGCAGTTAGAATTACTATGCCAGGGTCCCACAATCCATAAATGGCCAGGATAGGATAACACTTGCTCCCAAACCCTTGTCAATCAGTCACACAGTGCAAGTGCATGCTATGCTGCGAGGAAGCACCCACAGACAGGCTCATTGAGGAGGACACGAAGGGTTTGTAATAGGCCGTACCTGATTTCCCTGGGAGATGCAAGGTGCTGGCTTCCTGGGCTGGGATCCTGAAATGAAGACAGTAGTTATAGCTCCTTTTCCATTGCCATGTGCCCGTGTACACAGGACTGAGCACATGGGCCAGTCCCCAGTGCAAAGGCTCATGCCCCGTGTGAGCCACATACCCTGGGTTCAGACTGTCTGTGGCGGGGGCCTGTCTACATCACTCCACGGGGGCAGAGCTCAGAGCCAAACTCCAGGCACAGGACAAGCCTTGGGGCCTGTGATGGCTTCAGCCTGGTGCTCCCGCACAGGTGAGCCCACTGGTGGTGCCCAGGGAGTGTCTGGGGGCCACATGCTGTTTCTTACCCCATCTGGGAGGGCAGTGGATCCAGATGAGACTCAGGGGCACCGTGACCAGCAGCAGGGCACTGACCACTGCCACGACAGGGAGCATGACGCAGGGTGCGGAGCGAGCTGCAACTTAGATACAAAAGCTTCACATCAGTGCTTTTGCCCTGCTTTACTCTGCAGCAGCCAGGTCCAGTGGTTGGAGGACCAAAGAGAGCTGGTCTTGCCCTTGGCACTGGTCACTTGCAAATTGCTGCCCCTCCCTGTGCCTTAGTTTACCCATCCGCAAAGCAGCACCCACAAAGCAGCACCTTTTAAAGCCCTGGAAGCCCTCTGGATGGAAGCTGCTAATTGAGGGATTTCTTGAATCCAGTCCCCACAGTCCATCTGTCTCAAGGACAATGCAGCTGCTCACTCCTTACTGAGCTGCTTGCTGTTCCTGGGGACAGGATTTTCCTGGCATCCTCTGCCATCTCTAAAACTCTCCTGGACCGTTCCCCTCACCCCCAGCTGCTCTGTCCCTTGTAGTATCCAGCATCCTCCTCTCCTCCCTTGAGTGGCTCAGAATTCCCCTCTTCCCTGGATATTGTCTATCGACTCTTTACAGAGGCCTCTGAGACCTTGTCTCATCACCTGGGCACTGATTCACAACACCTTACCCAAATTCCCTGAAGATCTGCCTACTTGCAAGCACAACTTAATCATCCAGCATCCGCCATGCACATTTACAGGCATGAGTGATTGCAGGGGCTTTGCACGCATGTTATTTTTTAGCCTCAAATGTGAAACCACTCACGTTTATATGTGGCGTGTCTGGTAACGCTGCTGCCAGATGAGTTGAATGTGACCTGGCAGGTGACGGCTGCCCCACTGGCCCAGCTGGCCCAGGGGATGCTGATGTGATGGATAAGTGTTAAGGACCCATCACTGGCTTCCAACAAGCGTGGCAGACCCTGGGCTGGCTCCTCTCCGGGAACGTGCCAGGACACCCAGACAAGGTTGGAGATACCCCGGATCACACAGGCCAGATGTGCAGGCTCCGTGGCTCCGTTCTCCCCTGCAACAGGGCCCAGGAGCAGCACAGAGCTGCTGTGGGTGAAGCTGTCTGGGGACAAAGCAAGCCAAAAATTCATGGAGAGACAGAGATGAACTATAGCCTGGCCACAGCTGTGGATCCAACACTGAGAGATTAACCGATATAAAAGTGTCCTGGGGAATAAAGAAAGGTGCCATCCCCTGGCTGTCCTAGCCAGGAGAGAGCCGGGCAGCCTTCTCAGGGCAGTACTAGCAGCTTCAGGAGATCACAATCTTCTCACCCGCCGTCACGGCTCGGAGGGAGAAACATTCCCAGCCTGGCTGCACAGACCAGCCCCAC